TGTATTGTAGAGTGTACTGTAGAGAAAAATATAACAGATCAGTTAAAATTTCCTCAGGGTATTTATCCCCTACATCGCGCGACGCGTCCTTTCTCGCATCCTAAAATATTTCTCTTGTGATAATTATCCAGCGGGGGATTAACGAGCCAGCCCGCAAAATCTTAACTGCCGATCGAGGGAGAGTGCCGGAATGTGCCATCTTCTGAAAACATCTCACATCGAGCGACGTAAAACGAGGACCGGCGTGAGTCCTTACCGTTTATGTACACGTGAGACAATAACGTGGGCTTCGCGGTTTTCGATTAACAGGAACAGTGTGTGTGCATTAACGCGAGCTTCCCCGAGCTTAACAGTCTCAACAGTTGAACGGGCGCGCGAGTAGGATCGCGAACACGAGGATGAGGATGAGGGCCGTTCCCCGCGGCTCAGCCTTACTCGAGGAGCGCACTACGTGCCAGTTCGGGGCTGGCGATGGTCCACTTTTGCGAGTGTTCGCGATCACTGTCTGACTTCGCCATCTCATCGTATACTGCGGGGCTGTCCTTCCAAGGGCCTGCAGTCTGAAAATAAACAGGTCAAATTTTACCCCTATGCGCTGATAATATCTCTCATTCATAAGCTCCTGAGCTTTGTTCTTTTTTTTACCGAACATTACATTTTATCTGAAACTGTCTATATTTTTCAATGTGAAGGTATGTCAGCTATGATTTTTTGTATATTTTAAAATATCTTTTCTGTAATCTGATATATTAAAAGTTGAAGACGATTATATAAGGATGATGACAATAATAATTTTGTTGAAGTATGAATGAAAGAAATTACGTAAAATTAAATTAAGTATAGAGAATTGCATCTCAGATAAGACGAAACATTAGCAATAATACTGCTTACATTAGCAATAAAACTGAACTTTTAAATTTGTGTGAAACTTTAAATACTTGAATTATTATTTATTTTAGCTCAGAGTTCTTTCAATAATTAATTTTGTAATTTAATATATTCAATAGTTATAATGTAGATATATCATAATTCCAGACAATGTAAATTAATGCATATTTAAAAGCAATTTGACATCAAAGTTTCGGTACATACATAGCGATAAAACTCTTCTTTATTCTTTTAATTTTTTTGGTTGTTTTAATTTTGTTCTTCTAATTTCTCAGATTTATTCCAGAAATATAATATTATTCTTGCAGTACCAATAAAAGTGATAAAAATGATAAATAAGGAGTAATAAAAGCCTTTTGGAGCTAACTCAAGATCTTATCGAGCGAATTAATATATTACATGTATAATTCGAACTTAATATAATTTATTTAGTAAGTAGAATTAAAATATATTTATACATATGATAAAAATGACTGTAATTCTTCTATTCGAGTGCCAATTGATTACTGCCAGAGTCATTGAGAAAGTAAGAAGCTGCTGTTAAGCATATTTTTCTTCATATCACGCAGATTATGGAATAAAGGAAGTAATGTGTCGCGGTTGAGATTGCCGTAAGGCGAGATGAATGATGGCCGATTGTTAATCAGTGGATAATTTCTTCGTGCGAGACGACAGTAACGGATCACGCGAGCATCAATCCACTGTAGTTTTATTACATACATGAATTCGATCGTGTACGTCGGTAAAACGCTGTTATATTTCAGCCAACCGAGTCATAATCTCCTTCGTCGGAACTGTTACGGAACTGTCGTTAAACGTACCTAACAGACAAGATCACGGTAGAACTTTCGCCAGGTTAATCGGCGAGAGCGACCGTCAGGGTAAGAAACTCACCTAACCACCACGGTATTCATCTTCCACGGCAGAGTGAAATTCTTGTGCGTGTCTCTCGAGCAGAACGTGTGCAATCTGATTCCGGCGGGATCGCCGTTCTTTCTGTACTCGTGTATCGTCAGGTTCCACGCCGTGCAAGGTCCTAAAATAGAAGAAGCGTTATATAAAGCGGACAGCGTCGCAAACCTCGATGGTATCCCATTTTTATATAAAAGTTCAAATAAAATAAAATTTAAAATTTATTGTAAAAAAAAAAAACAAATACACTTTTATTGTATAATAGGAATCCAAGCAATCGATTGAGTCTATTAAACATTTCGTTCCTCACTTAGCCTCAATATAAGATTAGTTTTAATCTTGGTTCAATTTCTCCTTTATCTTTTTCTAGTTTTAAGAATTAAAAAAAAATAGTAAGTTAAACCGAAATTAAAGTTAATCTTACATTGGTAAAATCGAGCTTTTTAGATATCATCATCATACCTCCGATCAACTCGATGGTTCGAGTAAAGAGACACGATGTCTTTTAGTCTTTTGCTCGCCAAGTATGGGCACAACGTGAATGTATGTTCGTGAATGTATCGTAATATATCCAAATAAATCATAGATATTACGAGTATTACAAGTCCTTATGCGGTGTACAAGTAGAAAGAGCATTACGAGACATGTCGTCATTAATCTCTAACTTCTCACCGAAGAAGAATCTCTGTTCTAAGTTAATTTTCGTCAGATTTAAATACCTTCCTTGAATTTATATTTTTTGAATTAGATTGAATTATTCTAAAATAATTCAATAATTAAATCTCGTTATTTGTACGCATATAAATAATTAATAACTCGTAACAATTGTGCGAGTAAATATTATACGCTTTCCTTTCTTATATTTTCTATACAAGAATTATTTTTTCCACAGGGAGTAATATGCATGCGTGGGAGGATTAATAATTCTGTTTATTGTCAGGATTCTTGTTGTCTATCTATGGAAAATTGTGACAAACCTTTCATGGCCAGAAACTGCACCATTCGAAGAAGAAATTTCGTAAAAAGTGTAACTAGGAGGAGAGAATACAGAAAGAAAGAAGTACGGTGGCAGCCACGGTGATATCGCGGCTTGGGAGGTATATTAAAACCATTTCCGGTGCCGGCGTTTGCCGGGCTTTGGTTACGATTCCAACTCTACTTATAATGTTCTGTAAGATGGCGAGGAGGAGGAAAATGAAAAAGCTATGGAGTGAAAGCAGAAATGAGAAGATTAAAGAAACGGATGGAAGACAGCGACGTTTCTATGGTGAAGTTGCGGATGGGAATGTCTCGTCACCGGAGTAATTCGATTCGCGGCGGTTCATAAAATCATAAAACGGGAATGATTTCATAGAAATGTACGAAGCCTCATTAATTCATTCAATAATTCATTCGTTACTTATTACTACGCTCCTTTAGTTAGAATAAATGCGCGCGCCGTAATTGTATCCAAGATGTTGACATAAGAAGACGGAGCATATGGAATGGAAATTTTTCTTTTTTCCAATCGAATTTCATCCGCGTAATCTATCCGCATAAATCAAAGCTTCTTGTTCGAGTTCAATATTCCATCATTCATATATATTGAACCAATAAAACTCCATTTTCTTGAAACATTGCAGAGGATATTCTCCGCATCCAATAAATGATATTTCCCTATACGAACATACAGATCACAATTCATTGTGCTATCATATATGTATACATACATCCCGTTGCATCGATCGATCGCCGTATACAAGCGTTTCAAGAGAAAACAGGAAAAATTGAAATAGAGCAAAAATACTGTTGAAATAAATAAATAAATCATTTGAAATTATCATATCGAATAATAATATTGCGCAGTAAAAAAATCGATACCGTTGAGTGATCAGTTTTCGGAGGGGATGATGGCGTTGTACAGTCGCAGAAAAAATTCAGCCATGAATGCAGCTATCCTTACATCACAGAGAACAATATTTTTCATGCAGCATTTCATCCGAGAGGAACAATCGTAATATTCCTAGGCTCGAATATATAAGCGATAGATAGTCGCCTTTGTCGTGCTCGTAAGATGACGATTTACGTTCCGCAGAAATGGAAAAGGCGAAAAAGGGAGCGAATGATGCAAAAAAATGAGGATGAGAGAGAGAGAGAGAGAGAGAGAGAGAGAGAGAGAGAGAGAGAGAGCGTGGTTTCTACACGGTAAAGCTTTAGTTTCCGTCGTGGTAAATCTGATGGTCTCTTTAATCTCGCGACCCACTGCCATTCGTTTCGCGCCCACGCTCCTCTGTCTCTTCGGTCGGCCGCGACGTTCTCTCACCCTCCGACTTATTCTTCCTCAACTTTCACCCCTTTCGTTCGCCACGGCGACGGCGACGGCGGCGGCGGCGGCGGCGGCGGCGGAACCAATGGCGCGGATAGAAATTCCGGCGGTCTCGGAAGAAAAGCAATCGAGAGAAGATTTCGCCGTGTCGTCGCCAGAGACGAGGCGCGTCGTGTGTAGGATGATCTATCTATGTTTTCTCTCGAGCCCCGCGACTGAGGTCGAAATAGAATTTTGCACAGATAGAATTCTTGAGAATAGAATTCTACTGCGAGACGCAGACTAGAATTTTATCGAGATAAGAGCTGAAGGCGATAGGGAGAACGTCGTTAAGGATAACAACAACTTGAAAAGAATGTTGCCTCAATATAATAATCTCTGCGGCAATAAAATATCGAAGGGACACTATCTTTTTAGCTTGAAAATTGTTTTCTTTTAATATTTTCGAATCCTCTGACGAGACCTTGTCGATGAAAAGAGGATTAATATAATAATTGACTTTCGAAAAATAATAATAGGTTTAAATATATCTATATAGTTACAGTTTCGGAATGTAATCACTTGTAAAATATGTATAACAAGCAACGCTGTTAAGTCGAAACAATTTTAACAAGAATATCAACAGGTTCGTTACAGTAAAAAATTAATTGCGTTATAGTAACGATTCTTAATGTTCAAGATCTATGAAAGATACGCCGCTTTGGAACGCAGTTGCTTTTTGTTTTCTTTTAATGCCGCTCGAAGATAAATCGCTCGAATGTTCTCTAGAGAGACGTAGATAGGTACTCTTAGATAAATCATTTTCGTGCTATTAAACTGCTCGCAGCTCTTCTTTCAAGATATAAAACTGCGAGCTAACGAATTCCAAGAATGACTTACATTTCTTTGATTTGAAGTAAAAAACCGTCAGCACACGTAATTATATTATATACTTAATTAAATCACTACAAATATTCTTATACAAAATTATGCAAAAAAATTGTGTAAAGTAAATAAATATACCTTATCAGATTAGAGCTTTAATCTAGAGGAAAGTTTACAATCTCAAGGGTTCACGTGAATAATATATTCATGATATTTAAATATATTTAAATATTATTCTTTCAAATTTATTTAAATATATTTAAGATATTGTGAAAATACTGTGTAAGTACCGCAGTTTTATTGGAATAACTTCTGCGAGTGAGGAGATATATAGACACAAAATCTACTCACGGCTCTGAGTGGACTTGACTTCGATGACGAGTTGCCGGTCGATCGGTGAGTCCAGGATCCAGGTACACTTCTGCTGGTAATACTGATTCAGCTTGGTCCCGGCGCTTGCCAGATCACCGCCATTGACCTCGCCTTCCGGCTCGGCCGTTGTGTGATCGCCGCAGTAAGTGTCATTGATAAACTTGTAGGCCGCGTGGAAATTGAGGCCCGCCCTCGACGACCTCGACCACTCGATGTAGACCGGAGTCCAGCTACGAATGCCTACCGGAAGCCAATCCTGCGCGATAATAGATCCCGTTAGACGGATGAAATGAGGACTACGAGGGATGCGATGTGGAAAATGGTGAGCAATTTTTAGACAGAATAAAAAAAGCGTGGACTAAAATAACCGTTGAGAAATTGAAAATAATATCGATAAAAAAGCCGAGATAAAATACGATATACATAACCCTTGGTATACATGATTGTATCGTTTGTTGTTCATTTCTTTTTTTTTTTTTAACACTAGAAACACCAAGTAACAGTTATAACATTTATATACAATTTTTTACGAGAGGGTATAAACACTAGCTGAAATATTATTCTACAGATTAATATTATTCTACTGATTTCATTTGATTTCATGCAATTTCATCTCATTACAAATAATTTTCTTCACTACATATGAAGTTATTACCTTTGGTAATATAAATCTATTATATTATCTAATATTACACAATGATTTTCTCGTGATTGCATATATAATTACCGGATTATACATAGGAATTTTATATGAATTTTATAATGATTTTCGGGGACTCTCCTGTCCTGAGATTATATTAAGTGATTACTCCCTCGATTTTTTAAATACACAATCTTGCATTTTCTAAAGATGTTAATAACAGGTATATATAAAAATCATTTAATTTTTGTAATTTTTTGTAAAAGTGACGAAAATTAACCAGGGATCGACCTATCGTGTGTAATAAAGGGCTGGAAAATCATTGTGTATACCAAGAGATAATATTAATACAATAAATTTAAGATATTAATCGCAATTGCAGGAAGAAGCGATATCGCTGGCTTATTGACAATTGGGCAATACGCTTAATTATCAATCGCGGATTTCGGATTTAATCCTATACTGTTAAATTACATAAATTTAGCTTGTTGTTTGCATGATAGCCCCAATATGTAGGAATAACGGTCATTTGAATATGAAATGATGTTCCCACGAATCGAAATCGTATTACCGTTTATAGACTCACCCTAACGATTACACTCGATCAGGTGTAATCTGATAATACATCTATTAATAATCATCATCGTAGATGAGACACAGAGTCAACGTCATATCAGGTGTGCGATGTATGTGCGAGATTGGTCGCAAATGCATTTTGCATTAAATAAATTATTTAGTGTTGACAATTTCCTGTTAAACATTTTTCCAGTTAAATATATATTTCAAAGAGTGGGGTAAGTGAAGCTTTTGAGTTATCCGATGCATGAGCGCGTGCCACTTTTTTATTTCGTTTTCACCGTGATACATACATTCGTTGTGACAATCACATACTAAATTTACTAAAAATAACGCGGATTACTACACCGTAAATTAAAAATTTTTATTCATATTGATTACGCCACAACATTGTGGTAAATGTTGAAACCATATTAATGAAACTGATTTACATTTCATACGAGCGTTAATAACGTAGTATATATTACATTAAATTAATTTTCAGCAAATAATCCGTACACAATTTTCCCGCACAGAGACTCACTTTACGATGATTAATTTATGGGTAATAGCAAAAGTATATTTCAGATTTTTAAGAAAGTCCAGCACGTCATGAATTTTGTTTTTGAGGAGAAAAAAAGAAAACCATCTCGCTGAAAGAAATATGATAAGCATAAGGGACCGTTCGCAGAAAATTGCGTATATCGCAAGCGATATATTTTAACGACATCGCCGTTACAATGTACGTTTTCGCGTGACAATGCGGAGGGATATAAAAGTTGCGGTAATAACGATAGCTTTTATCTCGCGGCATTCAAGAAGCAGAAGTGCTCGTAGAAGCGGCCGCTTCGTCGAGGGCGTCGAAGACGCTCATTCGACGCGGGGGCCACGGAATAAAGTTTTTCCGTAGCTCGCGCGCTTACCTGATAATTCCCACAGAGACAGGTGACAATGTGTCCGGTCTCGGAGACGAGCAGGAGGTGGTCCATGCTCTCCAGAGACTTGCTGACGCAGTGGCAGCCGCTGTCGCCGCACTTGGTCTCGCACGGGTTGTTTGGCGTTTGCTTCGTGCTACCCTTCACCTGCAAACAGAGGCATCAGCGTTCCAAAAAGTGTAAGTAAAAATCTGCACGGGCGGAATGAAGGAAGCGGGTTAAAAGAATGGCAAAAACGCGGTTAATTAATTATCGAGAGATATATGCCATACGTGCAGTTTTCAGTTAATTGTTCGCTGTCTCTCCCGTAACTGACGAGAGACTGACAAGAGGCAAGATATCGCAACTGTCCAGAATCGATTTGGTTCTGCTCGCTATACTGTTTAACATACACAAATTTAAGAAACATATTTTTTAAATATATTTTGAGATTTAAGAGTTGAAACTATTTCTCAAAGTTAACAATTGTATAGTACTTTTGAAGCTCCCGTGTATAATATTTTCTTCAAAGAAATCACAAGATTTACGTCGTTAAATGCTTTTAATTATGTATCAAGGCACGGAGGCATAATGCACAAACCTCATAACTGCTCAACGTTTATATTCTAAGTAATTATTAGAAACTATAAGGTATATAAAAAAATGCTTTAGATGATCCTTTTATAGTACTTTTTATACATACAATTGTACAGTGAAATCTCATTTTTTTACATGAGATTTCACTCCTTTGAAGTAAAAAAATTCATTCTGAAAAGAATAAAAATTGTCACTCTTTGTCAAGAAGTGAAATATTTTCATTTTTTTCAAGAATTGCATTTTCACTTTTTTCAAGAGTTGCATTTTCACTTTTTTCAAGAGTTGCATTTTCACTCTCTTAGAGTGACATTTCACTGCAAGCAATTTAGAGTGTAGTACCTTTTTTTGATATATGTTGTAATTGTATATTTAAAGTTTTCAAAAATTAAAATTTCCATATATGTATGTATACATCGTGAAAGGAGATGAGTTATGTAAGAGCACGTAAGAGATTAAAGTTGCACGATTTTGCCCGGTTGCAAATCGGATTTACAACACAGATGCGACGTTCGTATCGTTCAGAGTGGGATTACAATTGGTATGTTTCCACCAGGAATTCAATTGTTGAACTTTATCGTTCTCGCAAAAGTTACTGAAACCCGTGGCTGAAACCGTGATCTCGCCTTCGGAATCGCGTCTGATCCCGCGGAATATTATTTCTACGAGGATTAAAGGCTCGCGCTGCGAGTACAGGTAGAAAGTTTTAGATTTCGATTCGCTCGTGCGGTATGCACGAGAGTTTTTCCTTTTAAGTTAATTTAACAAGCAAGAATTCTTGTTTACGCGAGAGACGCTGTGTCTAAAACTGAATAAATTGATGAGGATTTAATTTCTAGTGGTTAAACGAACGACAGAGTTTAGACATTTCATCGGGAAAAACTCACCGTAATGATCACCGATTGATTGGGCGCCGGTATAAAATGCTGCCTGCACTTCACTGGGCCTTCCATGGCGAACAGCCGATGTGGTTCCGGATGCACCACTGAACCTTCCACCGGCGACGTCAATCCGTAATATTCGACGTCGCACACGCTGGCGGGCTGCTGAGTGCCACCTTCACGTTCTGGAGCATCAGATGAAAATGTTTGTGATGAAAATGCTTGTAAAAGCCGTCGAAAGGGATTAGGAGAAATAATTTTATTTTCGAATCTCTTCTCTCTCTTATTACCTAAAAATATTAATATGCAAATTTTTGCAAATAGATTTTTTCAGTTTTTATAAACAGCGTGCCGATTCGATGTCCAATTGAAATCGTAAACAAGAACAGATATC